ATTTGATCTAAGTGATATTGCCGTAACCCCTAGGCAATACTACCTAGGTAGTCTGAAGTAATGTGAAAAACAATTCCGGGCTCGTGCCTAGCGTCCTATTACAAAAAAAAAAAAAAAAATCCCAATGTTAAATTTGTAGCTAGTTTTTAAACCAAAATCGTCGTAGTTGATGTGAGCCACCGACAGATTGTGTTGACCTAAATTACTGATTTCTGTCAAATACACAACCTTTTTTTAACAATTCAAACTAATGGAATGGCACATTGTGAGCTAGCAACTGTTATGACCCATCAACTTGGTCAGCAATTAAACTATCTGAATTTTTGACTATCGGAATGTGGTACAGTCCCATTTGATTCGGATAACAAATGTTATTGAACAAACTACGCGTATAATGCACCTGAAACATACCTACCCAGATAATTTTTTTTTTATTGGTCACTTATAAAAACACTTTTTTGGCCCTAAGACAAAATAGGTAAAAGCTTTGATAATTGATACATCGAGACATTCCATCCCCATGTTAAAGTTGTTGTCAGTTTTTAAACCAAACTTGTCGTTGATGATGTGGTCCAACAGATTGTGCTGATCTAAATTACTGATTTCTGATGAATGAATACATTTTTACCAAGTCAAACACTGTTGGAATGACTTATTGTGAGCAATAGAAACTGTTATGACCCATCAAATATCAACGATCAGACGCAATTTGTCATTGGGCTATGAATTAACGATGCTATCTAACAACAAAAAGGTCGAAGTTAGATAGTACCATAGATTAAAAAAGTACATCGACCAGGGTTTGGAATGTTCCCTTTTAAAAGGTAAAAAAGCCATCGGCGTAGAAACACACAAAATAAAATACAAGCAAAACTATATCAGCAACCAAAAATAAGGTAGAAAATATAATTTTAGACACAAGCACATTCTGTGACTGGATAAAAAATTGGCTTCAGCTGGTCCTTATAGATGGGATGTCTACTTACTTATGCAATAGTCAATGGAATAAGTAAATTTGTAGGACTACTAAAACCGTAGGACTACTAAACCATTTCAATTCTGAGGGAAGTCGGAAGCTTTTGAGGATTCGAAACTGGACCCAGCAGTCCTTGATCATTGGGCAATTAGTCGAGTAAATCCGTACGAGAACCCTAAAAAAATTGCTTTAAATTGTTTTATTGGTTATTTTGACTTAGAATTATGTGTATTTTCCAGAAAAAAAAGTCTAATGAAATCGGAGTCTCGGAAGTCCAAAATTCAAGATGGCGTCCAAGATTTTGGTCAAATGTGTCCGTTAGCACAATAACTCAAGCAAAAATTATCCGAATTCGATGAAATTTGGCACAAACATGTAAACCTACATTTATTTGAACGAGTTCGCGAACCAGCATGATCGGACCATGGGAACAGGGGTTTATGGGGGGTTTTATGGGGTAAAAATTGGTTTTCCCCATTTTTGACCCTAAAAACGTAAAACTTTGCAATTTATTTCGAAACCATTTTAGGGCTCAGAAAAAAGACAATTTCGTTCATTGAAGCGTTGTCATGGGCCTAATACCTAGTTACGGAGAAAATTCCAAAAAAATTTAAATTTAAAATCCCTATGTTATTCTTACGGACAATAAGAAAACTCGTTGTAGTTAGCCTGTATATGAATATATTTTTATCTAATTTGAAAAATTCATTTGTTTTATACCGGTACTAAACTATTAAACATTTTACTAAAAACACTTTTTTACCCTCCCTGTCGCACAAACTCAAGTACTAGTTAAAGTAGTGCTATTTAAATTGGGAATAAATGTGATATTTTAGTGTAAATTCAATAAGGAAAATTGAAATTCGATTAGGGTGCAGGTTTGCTGCGGCGGGGTATTTTAATTCATGACTATTTTTTGCTTGAAAAATCCAATAATAGGTCTTAAAATAAAGATCACAAGCTTGCTAAAATGCAACATGCATATTTTATTTACTTAAATAAATATCTATAAATTTTTAGCCCGAAAGGATTTTTTAGATAAGAATAGGCTTGTATTAATCGGGAATCTGAGCTATTATAAAGCCACATTTCAGCCCAATCCGAAGCTGGTAAAGTCCACAAGCTGTAGTACAAAATAACCCATACTTTGTTGCAGGAGCATTGCAAATTCTTGCAGCCAGTAGAGTAGTTGCAGTGAACGAATCTTAAAAGAATCTCTGAGCGGCACTTTGGGTCATCGAGTTTTTTTATTGTTTATTTTTTTCCAGCAGAGCATCTCAACATTATTTTTTTACCTTAATTGAAAAAAACTCTTCAAATGAATAATAATTCTTTTGTAGCAGTTGATTCACTATATTTATGAAATAATTTTGGTTTATTTTACCTCATAATTTGGTAGGAAAATGATTCAAAAATTTTGATCCCATGAAGGTTTCCTTTTTTTCAAAGAAGCTGAGATTGATAAATTTATATACATTTTACTTCTAGCTTCGAATGGACATTTTTTCTAATTTCCAAATTGTGTTTTTTATTTCAGGGACAAATTCATAGATATATTTCTGACTTACTACCGCGAAATGGGGAGTTGCCTTCATAATAATTAATATTAATTTTAACCTTTACATACATGTAGTTCTCAAAATGGAAACTATAACAGAATTCGTAAGATTACAAAACAAATCTTCAATTTTAAACTAGAAAAGATGTGCAATGTTTGGCAGTATGATTTCAGCTCTGATTCTTCGTTCTCCGGGCTCAGGCCAAACCGTGTGCTCGTTTCCTTGTTATGTTGTGTTATTGATTTGATCATTATTTTACAATTTTATTTCATTTACACATCAGAAGCAACTAATATACGACTCCAACGGAAGGAAAACCAAGATATAAAAAAAGAAACACTGTTAATTTTAAGTAACATCAAATTGATAATTTTAAAAATATATTTCAAATATTTGTCTTTTTATATATGGTTTTTTATTGTCGTCTAAATTAGGGGCTATGGCCCCTACAGGCCACTAGTTATAGTACATATCTATTGATCAGACAGTCAAAATGTGTTGAAAATTGATCTTTTACAGTTATCATTGTCTAAGTATAGCATGATTTTTATAGCATTTTTAGAGTTTCAGAACTGTATCTAAACTTTTTGGGCGTTCCTCCATAGATTGCCAGACCATAAGATAAATATTTTTATTTTAGAATGTCCAGGTTACATTAGTGACACTGGCCTAAAAACATATATAACCCTGAAGAAAGTTTTTGTATTATGTTTTGTGTATATTTAAGATTTGTGTCTAGGTTAAGCCCAAAAATTGAGTATGCTTAAGATCTATTTTTTACGAGGTAAAAATGGGACTTTCCCATTTTTCACTGTCCAAACCATTTTGAAGAGATCATAAAAACAAATAATTTAGTATACAGAAGCATTATTGTATGTCTAACGGTTACGGAGAAAATAAAAAAGTGTACATTTAAAATGACCATGTCATTCTTATGGAGAATAAATAAAGTGTTAAAGCTTGCTTGTCTATGGAAATATTTTAGTGAAATTTGGAAATTTTGGCCATATTGAAAAAAAAAACCCGATTTCCGAGACTCCGATTTTATTAGACTTTTAGTATATTATTTTACATACTTATTGAAAATGTAAACTATCAACAAATCTTTTAAAGCAATTTTTTAAGGTTAAGGGGTTTTATTTCATATCTTGACTAGTCTAAATTTGATCTAAATAACTGTAAACATGAACAACAATACGATTGGAATCATATGAAGTCAAAAAAACATCTGATTAACATCATATTACAAAAATATACCTGTTAACATCATACATATATTTTTTTTATAAACTACTTGTGAACTATTACAAAATAAAAGAATTGAATTAGCGTAAAAAAAGTATTGAAACAAATTCTATTACTTGACACAGAATTCGCTTATGACAAATATGTGTGTGTTTTATATCTGTGGAGACGATACAGGCCACGATGAATTGTTATCCAAGCGTACCAATTAACAATTGAGATATATGGTAATTTTCAGAATTCCCATAAGAATTACATAGTTTTTTTTATAATCATCCCACCACCACTTAAGATAATTTAATGATTAAAAATACTAAATTGCATATATTTTTAAGGATTTACAACATGGGTATAGCACAGACTAGGGATATAAAGTTTTGTTCCCTATAGTGACCAATATTGAAATAAGTTATTTACTACTAACAACTTAAGATAGATTTTTACCTATTTTCAACCCCATACAACACATTTACTGTATATTATTTATCTTAAATCATGAATAGTTTATAGATATTACAGATAATAAAAGGTTTGTACCAAATTTGATCTAAATTGGAGGTTCAGAAGAAAGTTTACAGGGAAAATAGTAAGGTTGATTATTTTTTCAAAATTTTGGACGCCATATTGGAAAAACCCAATTTCCGAGACTCCGATTTTATTAGACTTTTAGTATGTAATTTATCATACTTTTTGGAAATGAAAACCATCAAAAAACCTTTTAGAGCAATTTTTTTTAAGGTTAAGGGTTTTTTTTCATATCTTGACTAGACTAAATTTAAATGATCCTAGCAGAAGAGCCAACTGATCCAAGTAGGTAACAAAGGTGTCATCTTATTCATTGAACACTCATTGTTCACTTGCCTTTGCCTGTTGTGATGGTGCTGTAAAAGTCTAATCTCTAATCCAGACTTTTTATAGTAATATGTAGTCTATATGAAACAAAATGGGAGGAGTTGCAGTTCATTTACTGCCACAGTTGACTTAAATTCAACCTAATTAATTTATTTATATCTGTTTATAATATGATAATATAGCCCTAATTCTGCAATTTATTATCTCAATAAAAAACATAAATAACATAACTTTTTTTAACTGTAGACACTCAAACTGACATTAAAAAAGCATATGTACTATAGGTTGTTAACACAGAACCCATTGTGTAATTATTTAATAGCTCTAACCATGTCACAATTAGTTACCTAACAGACACCAGTGGCTGTGGCAAGCACTATTGAGTTGTTTCTTTGTTGTGATGACTTCTTTCGTTCTAGTTTTCACTGTAATTTTATCTACCTTACTTCCATCATGCTCTCCAGGAACATATACTGGCCTCGGCTACAAATTCTCTATTGACAAAATAAAAGAGGAAACAGGTCCTTTGAGGACGTTTGTAACAAATTTGAAGTATCCTTTTGAAGACCACACCATCACTACACGAGACGGATATGTTCTTACTTACCATCGAGTGGCAGAATCATCTCCCGAGGTGGAAGGTAAAAGGAAGGAAGAAGCTCACAGACATCCTGTGCTCCTTGTACACGGTATCCTACAATCCTCAGCGTTCTACCTGGCAATACCACAAGGACTGGCGTACAGGCTGGCAGACGCTGGGTTCGATGTATGGGTGGCGAACCACAGAGGCAATCCTTACTCAAAGGCTCACCTGAACCTCAACCCGACGTTGAATTCAAAGTATTGGGAGTTCAGCTTTGACGAGATGGGAAAATTTGACTTACCCGCAGCTGTTGACTACATTCTTAAGAAAACTAATAAGAAGACTATTTCTTACATAGGGTTTTCCATGGGAACCACAATGTTCTGGACCTTCGCTCACTATTGGCCGGATTACATGACCAAGATAGATTGTATGATAGCAATGGCTCCAATTGCTATACCTAACTCACTCAGTGTTGTCATAAGTAAATTCAATAATGGAGCAGTGAATTCCATTTTAAGGTCACTCAACATGTTGAATTTCTATGAATTTCGTCCGTATTACAGAAGATTTGCTTTCATAGTTCGAGCCCCGTGTGGTGGTCCGGAAACAAAGAGGGGTTGGTTGTGTAGGGGGATTATAAAGTTGGTTTGTTTATTATCAGGCATGCAAGAAGATCTTTTAAGCTACAAGTACATGTTGAGTTCGCTGGATTTCATGTCAGCAGGAACTTCGATTCAATCTTTGTTTCACCTTCTTCAAGTCGGAAGTGCAAACGAGTTTATGATGTACGATTACGGAGAGAGATTTAACATGTTTTACTACAGTGGAAAAACAACGCCTCCTAAGTATGACTTAACTAGAGTGACTGTTCCTGTTTACCTTATACAAGGGGGGAAAGACGTGTATTCTGTTACAAAAGACACTAAAATTCTGAAAGAAAGACTGGATGTTAATGGGAAAGCTTACCTTTTTCTGGAAGAGGAAGCAAAAGGCTACAACCATTTGGATTTTTTCTTTGCTGATGGAGCAAACGAAATAATACACCAGCCTGTGGTAAACAAACTAAGTGAACATGTAAAGTAATTATGAATCATCAGAAATTTAAGGAAATATAAACTGAGACTGAATTGCAAAATTAAGTTGATGTTATTAAAACTTTAGAGTTACTTTTTAACCTCCCAAATTATAATGTGGTTCATTAATACCTATATATTTTTCCACACCCCCCTCCCCTCCACCTGCTTTCAACTCCAGTGGCATTGGAGGTATTGTAGCCTACAGTGTACGCAAATACTTTTAAGGTAAGCGGTCCAAACCCATACGTTTTTTGGATGTGCTAGGAATAGAACCAGTCCTACTTTTTCTCTGAAATCCTAACCGCTAAGCTAGCAACACACCCAAAAACATTTTGAAACATTCTGCTGCAATCATCCCCAACTAAACGTATTTTGTATCATTGTAACTGCCTAAGGGTGCAATCAACTTTCAATCTAAGAAGGGTAAAAATTCAGTTGATAGGATATTACAGAAAAATAATTTATTCGTTAGCAGTTAATCAAATCAAATCAAATCAAAATATCTTTATTTATTCTCTGTACATGCTTGGCACATTGAGTAGTGTCAAAATATCCTATATTACATTTAAAATATTAGTAACATAAACTTAAAAATATAATCAAACAAAATAAAATTAGCAATAACAATCTCAAAATTCTGAACAGAACTTAAGTTCAGACAATGGTTTTAAGCATCAGAGTAGTTATGGAAGGAGATGATTTTATGGAGAATTGAAATGAAATTGAAAATTTTCATTTAGATGTGAGTGTGATGGTATTGGTATTTTTGATTGAAAGTTGAGGGTTGGTGTTTGTTATTGAAAGTGAAAGAGATAATGAAAGAGAGAGAGAGAAGAAAGAGTATATGTATGAGGAAGAGGGAAATGAAAGAGAGAGGGATAGAGAATGTTTGGGGTTGTGAGTGAGTGAGAGAGAGAGTGAAAGAGAAAATGGGGGAGGAAGAGGGGTATTGAAAAGAGAGAGAGAGAATGTGAGTTGGGAGTGAGAGAGAGATAGAGAGAGAGAGAGAGAGTGAAAGAGAAAATGGGGGAGGAAGAGGGGTATTGAAAGAGAGAGATAGAGAGAGAGAGGGGAGATAGAAGAGTGATAGTGAGTGAGAGAGTGAGAGTGAGAGTGAGAGGGTGATTGTTCATGATCACACAACATCAAATTACATGGGAATAAAATTATACAACATCTTACCCAACAAACTTAAAGACATAAACTTGCTCTCTATCTTCAAAAAACAGCTGAAACAATACCTCATAAATCAACCTTATTACACAATTACAGAATATCTAGAAGAACATAAATTTCCTACAAAATAAAACTCATAATACAAATCATACATTCACCCATACTACAATACTACACACAATCAAGAAGCAAGCAAGAAGAAAGAAGAAAAAGAATTGACAATTCCCCGGTCTCCAAGGACTGCGGCAAAGACTTCGATGGTAAATGGTAAATACTTTGTAGTAATATGTTAACTCGGATTGAAGCAAATTGTTTAGCATTTATTAGAAGTTATAAATTAAAACCAAGAACAGAAATAATGTAGGTGAACCTTGATGACAAAAATATATATTTAAAATTATTTTCTAACAGTGGTTTAAACTACTCTAAGATGTAACTAGAGTTACTAGAATTTAAGCATAATGTTTTCCTTGTTGCTCATTGAGCTGCATGGGTTCTCTAGTATCTAAATAAACTATGAAATGTTTTTCTAATTAAGTTATTGTTGTATTGAAGGTGTGTTTAACATGAAACAACTACATTGACTAAATAATTAATAATTCAAGATTGTTGTTGATTTAGAATCATAAAATAAAAACATCCTGTCACATTTTAATATTAATAAGCAACTGGCCACAGCCCTGGCCCATATACAGGATTTGATCACTGATAAGTAAGTACACACATACCCTAATAAATTTGTTGGAACAAACATAAAGTTAAAAGATATAGTCCACTTTTATCTGATACAATCTCTTGAATACTAATAAGGAGAGACTAATAAAATATCCACCTTGACGCAAAAATGTCTTACAGATAAAATCTACAACTCTGCAACAGAGTTGTGAATATAAAAATAAGCCAAACAGGATACATAAATTTAATTAAAGATAACATCTGTGACTGTTAACATCCGTGAGAGTTGCAAATATTTAGAGCCAAACAAGACACATAAATTTAGTTAAACCTGGTCCCAAACAGGATATATAAATTTAATTTAACCTTGGTCAACTTTTTAAAACAAGTTTGAATTGGAAGGATGTAAGTGGGGTATACTCAAATTTGGTTGGCTATTTTATTCAATGGTGGGGCATACTGTGTGGTAGGAGGGGTAATTCCCATTCGTACCCAAGTCCCTCCAATTCAGTCATTCTGTTCTAACGTCGACTCCTGAAGACATCCCCGAAGGTAAGTTCCACCCATGAACTATTTAGAACTTAGAAAATACGCACCAAGCTGGCGTCCCCATTTCATAATAGACAAATCCTAGTCAGTAACAATGCTTCACAAAACTTCTCACAACATTTACACTCATCCTTCACTTATATTTTGGTTAAAATACGCACCAAGCTGGCGTCCCCATTTCATATGATAATTAAATCTAACTTAAGCATGATCCTGTTTGCTCGTTTTACTGTCAGACCCAAAAAATTTATACTTTTTTCACGTTCAATGTTATGGTTATCATGTATTTGTATTATTAAAGGTTCTAGTAGTATTTTAATTTAAACATTACAAATTTAGTTTTTTGTGGATTTAAAAGTAAATTGTGATATCTCAAATAGTTTCCAAGGTTTTCCAATTCAATGTAAGAACACACTTCAGTTTCTTCTTGTGAGGCAGTTGATAAAACGAGATTTGAATCATCAGCGTAAAGACACAACTTCCTATTAAGCTTATAGATTAATGCGCTGTTTACTCCTCTCAGGTAGCAAAGAAAAAGCAAAGGCCCTAGAATTGATCCTTGAGGTACTCCAAACCTGATTGGCTTACAATTTGATGATATTTTAGTAATTTTATTATATTTAGTTAAGTGGGAAATTTCTACATACTGAGATCTGTCATGGAGGTAAGAACCCAGATAGCACGTAAGCTTGATTCAAGCCTTGAATTACGCTTGCTTTTACTTGATATGACAGCTTTGAATTGTCACTTTTGATTCAAACTCGAGTCAAATGTCAACTTCGTGTAACACACTTGAATTACGCTTACAGTGGATTGAATTAACAGCTTTGAAATTTCACATTAGATTCAAACTGGATTCGAGTATACACAACACACTACTATTACGCTTGCACTTGCTTGTATTAACAGCTTTGAAATATCACATTAGATTCGAATCCGAGTCGAGTGTAATATTACCCACAATGCACTTCCATTACGCTTACGTTGGTTTGAAATTACAGCTTTTAAGTATCACGTTGGATTCGAATTGGAGTCGAGTGTAAGTTACCCATAATTCCGAGCGGGAACGACGCTAACGGTGGGACCGACACTTGAAGACGCCATCGGCCATATTGCTTTGTTTTGTTTATTGTGTATTTGTGAGTGATTCATTCTCAATCTCTCTCATTGAGTTGAGAATATCGATGTTCTGGTGCTGAGTTGTTCAAGTTATTATATTATATTGTTTAAGCTGATTTGTTATTAAGTTTCATCTAGGCCTATTTCTTCTTATCCATCAAGGTAAGTTCTTATTAGCACAAACTAAGTAAACTCAAGGATTGTGACTAACAAAATCAAATCGTCTTAAGTTAATTACAAGAATAGCCTAGGAAGAAATTAAGTAAACTCAAAATCAGTGAAAATTTTGAAAGAGCCAAGTAAGTTATAGCCTAAAGCCAGCCACTTTTGAGTTGGTAAGCCTACGTGCAATGAGTAGCCTAGCCTAAAAAATAAATGTTGTCAACTTATCGGCCTAACTTTGAGTTGTTTGTATGCATAAAAACATATTTTTTTTACCAGCTTGCATATCAAGCTCTCCATGTAAGATACTTAGGTATTGTGGTACTGGTATGGTCTAACTTAGGCCTAGGCATTGTCTTCGCTGTTCATAGTATAGACTATGGTAGGTTATAGCCTAGATTAGCCATAATGGGCCTAAGTTACGTTGTAGTCTATTCTATAAAGCTGGGTTTTTCTAGGCGGGGAGAAAGTAGCGTGGAGAGTGAACTCCTCTTGTCTTATATAGTTTAATGTTACCGGTACTGTTTTCCTAGGAAGCAGAGCGGAATGCCATGTTAATCGATTTTCCGCTCTCCGCGCTCCTCTTCCGCGTCTATGAAAACCCGGCTTTAGACTTAACTTAATGCCATATTTTATACCATGATATTTTAATGTGTAGGTAACTTATAACTTAGGGCTAGGTTACTTACTAACTTAGACTTAAAGCTAAGTTACTTCAGTAGCCTACTCGATAAGTATTTAAGCAGCTACTTTGTTAGTGACACTGTCAGATAAATAGCAGTAACCTACGTTTAATCGCAGTAAGAGTCTGGTAAGCTTTCAGGCGATTAGTTTCTGATATAGGTAGGCTACAAAATTTCTTCTCCATTAAACTAAAAATTGGCATTAAGTTAGGTTAACTTACTTTGATTTAGTCCACTTAACTTAAGGCCTATTTTGCTTGGAGGGACTGTAGCGATAGTCGCACAGCGATTATCGCTCAGTTACTATCGCTGTTACGGCGACCGTTTTGCTTAGAGCGATTGATTTACGGTCGTCGTACGATTTTTCATCAGCACTCACAATGGTGAGGTCATGAGTGCGTGTTGTAACTTTTTAAACTATCTCCTCAGGGAGGAGTTAGAAGACGAGGCTCTACTTGACCCTAGGGGAAGTATCAATAGACGATCGATAGAAAATGCGTGGTGATAGGATAGGAGTGAGTGATAGGGTTTGGAACGGATGCGTATCACTAGATGTCATTATTTAGGATATAAATAGAAAACTGTAGGCTAGTTTAAGCTACTTATTAAAATCAAAATTAAGAAAAATGCAAAGGAACCTAAACCTAAATAAATAAGTAGGCTAGGTTATTTATTTAGGTTTAAGTTTTTTTGCATATTTCTTAATCTTAATCCTTTATCCTATAGCAAAATAGGCTAG